ATTAAACATAATCCCCTTGAATGTTGCAAAACACCGTCATAATACTTATGTAATTAAGGTTACTCCGACTTTTCAAGATCCCAATTAAACCTTAGAGGGATATTGATTTGCAAAAGTTGAAGTGTTTCCTTTCTTTATCAAAAATTCATGCAAACTTGAATGAAAATTATTCTTAAATACACAGTAAGGCAATTAAATAATATTTAACAATAATTAATTCAATAATAAAAAATGCTCGAAATTAACCTTAAGTATTTATAAAAATACTTTATAATTAAACTCAATGAGGACAACAAGATACCTAACACAACATTGATAGCCTTCCTTTGGGCCGACAATATCAACTTGCAAGTGGTACTCTCCATGTGGTGATCAAACAGTGATAATCAATCATGTCAAGTGAAAGTCTTCCTTTGGGCCGGCAATCACTCACATGACATAACTTTATATTATCCATGTTTATTATCATCTAACTATATGTGAACCTGTTATTGGCCAAACTGAAGTCTTCCTTTGGGCCGACTACAGAGTGCATAAATACACAGATACAGAAACATCTGATAATTTTGAAAGATATCAATATCAGAAATCAGAGGCTACTTTGGTAGCATGATTCATCAAATTAACACCAACCAAAAGGATCAGACAATTATGCAACATATATAACTTTAATTATTATTAATTTTATCTTTACGAAAATAAAACTACCAAAATTATTTTCAAAATTAATAATAATATCTTTATATGCATAATTTAATAATGGGAAAAGTCCTCTAAACAATTTATTAAATCCAGAAATAAAAAATAAAAAATAAAAACTGGATTTTCCCAAAAGGAATATTATTGATATTATAACTCGTCAACAATTCAACATAGGCTATGGAGCACTAATTGCAGCACAATAATCTAATATCAATAATTAATTCCAATTGTAAGTGTATTTGTTATTTGGCCAAATTGTGACCTTCCTTCGGGCCGATCACAATTCGCATAAACAACAATACTCAAATCTCACAAAATTATAACTTAATTATTATTAATTGTTTCCATATGAAAATAAAATACCTAAGTTATTTTCAACAATTAACAATAATATTTATAAATCAAAACTTCATAGAAATTTAAAAATTGTGCAAAGTATTGATTAAATTGTTAATTTATTCACCATAATCAACAATCTTTAATTAGCACAACATAAAAGGAAAATTAAATCAACCTTCATATTTAAATTCGCCCAGAATATTCAAAACAGAATATAAATTGATAACTAAATAAATAATTATTAAAAATTAAATAAATAGTCACAAAAAAAAACATATGTAAGTTTGCGCACTGCAACATTTAAAATAAGTTGGTGCTAGGGCATTATCTCCATGCATCAACCGTTATCTTCAAATGACACCTTATTGGAGTGCCGCAATTTCTTTAATTTTTCTTTTAATGAAAACTAAAGATTCACCGTCACAACTAATTTGTTAATTAAAAAAAAAAACTTTATCAAATTAGTCCGGGATAAATTCGAACAATTTTCAATCAATTAAGAATTTTAATCATGTGAAAATTGTTCAAACATCTTATCAATCTAAATAATTTTAATAACTTTTTTGTTTAAATAAATAAGTTATTAAAAGAACAATGAACTTAACTTTTAGAGATCCGATAATCATCCATGCAAAACTTGCTCTGATACCACTTGTTGGAAATTTTAAATAAACCCTAATTCATGATTATTCTAAAACAAAAGCCATAAAATTCCAGAACAATCAAGGCGAAGGATCTAAGCATGGAAGAAAACCAAAATCTATAAAGAGGTTAGAATTACCTGAAACCATTAGATAGATTGACCACGATCTGTGGTTTGTGGTCTTCCTCAACTATGCAACCCAGACCAAATATGGGCAATACTCTCTCTGTTGGATGGGAACAGGAGGCTCAAGGAGCATAGTGTATTGGGGACCATAACCATATATTTATAGGTTAATCCTAGAGTTTCCCATAATCCCCTAGATTAATGAGCTGGTTTCTACTCAGCAAGCCACACCACTAAATGGGAAGTCATGGGCCCATAATTAAGATCACTTGTATGCCTATTAAATAACCTAAATATAATTACTCTTTAATTTGTTACCCACATATGAATTAATTATTAAATTAATTCCAACAGGCCCAGCCTAAGAGGAAATAAATGGCTATATAAAATCAGAAACTTGATCAAGAATGCATTGCAAATGATGGAGAAACTTCTCGGAGATCAGAAGAGGTTATTGTTAATCAATCATGTCGGGAGCCATGAAAATTTTTAGTGGTAATGTTTGGGGGTTAGCGCCTGGGCATTTCAAACTGTCCATTATGTTTAAATCACAGCAATTCCTCATATTTGATTCCTAATGGAAACTAAGTGTAATACTTTTGTGATGAACAAAATGAAATTAAGTTTGAAGTACCTATGGATGTTTTCTGATTGATAATATGGGTGCTAATGGATGTATAATGTTTACTTTGAAAAGAAGATGTGGATGTGACAATTTGTTCATATTCTTTGTGCTATATAAATGCAAGTATTTGTTGGCTTGAAGAGTGGTGGGTGACTGTGGCTTGAAAGACTGGAGGAACTTGGGAGAAATGACAATTTAATTGTTGCCCGTCGTCTAATTTAGTTGCATTCGGATGTTGCAACATCCAAAATGAACGGAAATAGGGGTAACCATCCTAGGTGGCTCATTGGTCCAAATGAGCTAGAGTTAATTAAGAGGGAATTGATTCAAACCCTGTGATGACCACCGAATCTTAATATTTAGTAATTCCTATATGTTTTCGCATAAACTGACCCGAAATAGGAGCAATTTTAAGAAATGATCAGGGTGGAATGATTAAAGCTTACCCAATTCTTTATCATCCTCTAATGGCCAAATCTCTTGCAATTAAATCTAACTTTGTCTATCTGAACTACAAAACTATGACGTATCAAGTATGGTGTGACATTTCACTCGATCCTAGTTAGATGACCAAGTCATGTGGTGGACGAGATTCCAGCCATATGTTATGTCCAAAAAAAAAAGAAACAATATGCCAAAAGTATAGTAACTTTTTATTTCATATCAATTTCGTGCCAGTTATATATTTTATAATTTATTGATCGAAAATATATATAGATACATATTTAGTTGAGAATTAATAGTAGACGTCCCTATTAGTCGCTTGAGATGTTTTTTTGTTAATAAAAAATATTCATTCCGATTTTTACAACTGTTTTACAGATTTGATTTTGAACATCCTACCATTTCTATTTAGTTATTATTTTCAAAATCAAAATAATACTCCCTCTATTAGATTCTCATATTTGTTTCTTATTATATTATCTCTTTTTTCCTATATTTTTTTATTATAGATTTTATAAACCACTTATTTCACTTTTTAAATATTTAAAAACCGAGGAGGTCAACACAAAATTTATAATCAATAATATGGGCTTTGGTTAGAGTTACATCACTTTGGACTTGACAAGTCCAAAGTTCAAATGTCAATATCATCGTCATATCAATCAAGATCTAAATTAGAGTCAACATAAACATAGCTCAATGATAATTCCTTTAAAATAGAATATTCAAATTCCCGTGTCATCAATTTGTTGTAATAAAAGAAAATAGATCATAGAATGGAAATGGAAACATGCCATTGATGAAAAAAAAAAGATGTCATTGGCTCAACTCCAAAAAAATAAAATAGGACAGAAATGTCCCACTCGGAGAAAATTTCTCGATATTTGAATAAGAGAGAAGTAGTTCTGAATTTGGAACTCAAGTCGTCGCAACTTTTTTTTTTTTTTTTTTATAGATATTTCGAATTTTCTTTTTGCTTCTAATGTTTCTCTTTAAAAAATGCAAAATGTCATCCCTCTTTCAAATATTTGAAAAAATTTAATGGAGCCCACATTAGAAGAATATTATCCTACTTACCACAAGTACCAATGTTATTATCCTACACATGTGAAATTAGAGGGAACGTCAACATGTATTCCTTTCTTTGAGGTTGAACGTTCGGTCTCGCATTTAGAGATGAAAAAAATACTTGCGTGACCCGATCTCCATGGGTACCCAAGTCGATTAGGTCAGGGACGGAGTCAAATTGGAGATACCAATCGGGTTACCCAATGAGGAAGGAGGAGGTCCCTGCTCCCATCCTCGATCTGTCTGTTTAATATTTTATTAATATTAATATTTTTATATATAATAAATTAATAATAATAATAATATATATTAATTTTTATACTGATTTTATAATTTGTTTAAAAACAAGCTCAATGGCTCAAGTTTAATCAAATATTAATAAATTTTTAAAATAAAAAAAATAAAAGAATAAAAAGAGATTTAAAGGAACAAGGTAGATATAACTTACACCTACTTTGTTTTACCACAGCACCGAATGAAAAATTATTTTTCTATAAGAAGAATATTATTATTTATTATTGCATCATTTTTTATAGGAAGAATATTATTATTTATTATTCTTAGGCCAACATCTAACATCTAGGTTTTGAGTCCTTGGTGTTTATATATAAATAAAATTACAATTATTTTTATCTATATATCAAAATAGTAGATTAGGCATTAAAAAAAAATTAAAGCATAAGTTTGTTGTCATTTTTATACCGATAAATCATATGCCTTTTTTTTTTTCTTTCTCTTTTGATCATTTTCTTAATGCAACATACAGGTGTCTTTTTTTCTAGAAAATTATGGTGAATGCCTCGTTACAATTTACAACAAACAAATTTAAATTTATTGTAATTTAAAAAAGGTGACAAGTCTGATTTTTTTGGTCACTATATTTTACTTTTTCTTTTGGGATTAAATTATAAAATAAAATTAAAGTAGAATTTAAATATGTTCTTTTTAATAAGGATAATACAAGAAATTGACAAATTTGCTATCGTGAGCGTCAAACGTCAGAACGGCGCACGTTAGCAAATCATAAATCATCCAAAGAAGATGGTGAAAAGAATTGCCAGGATTTCCACGCGCGATTCCAGATTAGGGTTTCTCTCTCTCTCCTCTGTGTGTGTTCTTCCTCATTTCTTCTTCGCTTGTTCCGTAATTGGGGGTGCGATCTTTGAGCTCTAACTCTTTGTGCTTACTTTTTTGTTCATCTCGTTACTGCTCCCACCGACTTTCTGAGGTTGCCTGCGTTCAATTTCTCAATTTGAATGAATCGCTGAAGTTGGTCGTAGGGAGAAAGTGGGAAGAAGGTAGAGATGGATGAAGGTGAGGGAGGGTTCGGTGAGGGTGTGGATCAGATTGATCAGTTTCATAGGAATGAGGCGATTTCTGCCGTTGCTGATGAGGGTTTCTTGGGCGAAGATGAGGATGAGTATGAGGACCTCTACAACGATGTTAATGTTGGGGAGGGGTTTCTTCAGTCGTTGAGGAAGAATGATGATTTGGGATTCAGGAACGAGGAGGAGCCGCCGAAGATTGAGCCTCCTGCAACTTTAGCACCCAGTTCTGGTGCTTCGATACCTGGTGTTGGCGGAGGTGCGACTGAAGTTGCTAGTTTAGGAGATGGCGGGCACAGTGTTCCGGAGAGAGTAACCGAGGGTTACAATCAGATTCCAGATTTAAGAACGAATGAGATGGCTATGAGAGGTGGGGCAGGATCGGGGCCGCCGATGGGTGGGGGAGGCGGGATTAGGGTTGAATTAGGGCAAGGGAGTAAAACCAATGAGTTGGAGGAGCGAAGTAGTAATAACGTAGCCGTGCATCAGGCTCCGCAACAGCCACAGCCACAGCCACAGCAACAGCAACAGCAACAGCAACCGCAACAGCACCACCATCAACCACTGCACAGCGGAGTTTTAGGAAATCCCGGGAGCGTAGAAAATGACGGTTTGCTAAGGCAAGGTGGAGTAAATGTAAATGGGGTTGGTGGAAATGGGTATGGTAATATGGGGAGTGCA